CTTTGAGTAGTAGTATACACTCACCCTGCTAGTAATCACAGCGCAGCGAAGAGACAGAAATATCCTGTCAGTGTCCATCTTTCAGAGTAGCATGTATAATATATATTTACCAAAAGTAATACAAATCACAGATCACCGCTGCAACAATTCTCAAGTTTTTTTTTTCATTACTCTTGTTTGTAATTTATGAATGATTTCTATTAACAGAAACTCATTTTAAATGGAGTGAATTTCTATCAGAAATAAAGCAAAATGACAAAGTTACTTTACAGTGATCAATGCAAAATGTGCTTGGTTAACTGTGACCAAATATTAAAAGGGAGTCAAATCCCCCCCCCCCCCCCACACACTCACACACACCCCCGTCTTTACATTTCCACTTTCTGTTCAAGCTTTCTCTCTCACACACACACACACACACACACACACACACACACACACACACACACACACACACACACACACACACACACACACACACACACACACACACACACACACACACACACACACAGAGAGAGGCACTCAGATCAGTGGCAGGCCTGTTTTCTCATCAGGGTGATTATCCAGCTCATAACTCACTCAGAGCTTTCATTTGCACTATAATTCACACCATTCCCAACGATGGCGCCACTATAATTCACAAACACACACACACACACACACACACTGATTATCTCAGCTGTAACTCACACACCTGCAATCAGACAGACCACAACACCGAGTATTGAGAGGAGGATGGATGGACAGATGATAATAGCAATAAATATACGCAACACCCAAAACAAGTGTGTGCATGTACTTTCCAAAATCTAGTTTCGGAAAGAAATCTCAATTGGGTTTTATTATTCAGTGAAAACGATACTGGAGATGCATTCTCATCCTATCAGAGCCTAGTTTTCTGTAATGTAATGCTTGGAATCTCCTTGGAAATAAATTGTAAATGTTTTTGGACTTAATTTAATGTCCCTGTTCAGTGTTCTCAAAGGAATGTGATTAGTTTACAATTATTTTTGGGTATTTCCCTTTCCTGTAGTGTCTTACATAGGTTTTTGTGCATGTAAATGGTCTGCAAAGGCTAAAATCCTAAAGCACCCTCTAGAACACATGTGTCAAACTCAAGGCCCGGGGGCCAAATCAGGCCCTTGGTGGATTTAATTTCGGCCCGCAGGATAATTTCTAATTACTGTTAGATCTGGCCCGCCGGTATATTGCACGCACACCTTCCTCAGCTCAGAGCCTGACCCCAAACATTGATGAACTTGTACCCAAGATGAGATGCCAAGTATCTGAACTAGCATCACAGAGCAGCACACTGAGTTTCAATGGATGTTTCCTTTTGCACTTTTTCTCTCACGACAACAGGGCATGTTTGGTTTTTTCTTTGAGGGGAATTGTTTTTTTGAAGCTGTTGTTGGCCTGTGGGAAAATGTAATCATAAGAAATGACTCCGGAACAGCTGCAGATAGAGCCATAAGAAATGAATGCAACTGATTATGTAATGTTGTTTTTTATAGGCAATCATTTAAGCTGTGTTAGTTCCAGGTTTAATATGTGCAATAAGTTCATTTCAGTAAGTTCTGCAGTAAATATTGAACCAGTCCGGCCCTCGACTAGTACAGATTTTTTGATTTTGGCCCACTGTGTATTTGAGTTTGACACCCCTGCTCTAGAAGGAGTTTTTCCTCCCACACACTCTCCCTCCCCCCCCCGACGAAAATGCCTCCATTGGACTCCTATGTTCACTTCCATAACATAATGACATCACTATGTAACACTCACGCTTCTATTGGCTAGCGCTCCAACACATTGTACGTGAAAGATATTGGGGCGGGACATCTCTAAGTGGTTGACCAATCACAACAAAGCCAGCCAGCTAACCAATCAGAGCAGACTGGGCTCTGGTTTCAGACAGAGGGTGAAAAGCGGAGCTGCAGCACAGGCAGTATGAGAAAAATAAAGAGCTTTGTGAACATTAAAGCATGGAGACAGGACATCAGAGCACAACATACAAATATAAACCTGAAAATCAGCATAATAGGGCCCCTTGAAACTAGCACATCCACTCCATACAGTGTGCCAAAGAAATGAGATGAGCATAACTTAATACCCTTATGCTCATTTTACAAACCTGATGAACAGGCTGATGGCAGTCTGCTCCCTCGAGGCAAAAGGGTGATAATGATCTTTCGGGTCGGACTGACATGATTCCAATCATCTTTAATGGTGATTCTCGGTTATTCATTCTTTTGCAGATTAATGTGGAGTTTCAGACGGATGAAATGCCATGAATAGCAGCATGTTCACATCACATTTAGCAGGAGGACTCACACATGAAAACCTAATTATTTTCACTCAATGGCGCACAAAACATCTACTAACGTGCGTTTATAGATTTACTCTCAACTCCCGCTGCGACATACGTCTCTCTCAGTCTAATTTCACCTTTCGTTTTTGTACTGGACTATATATATACGATGAGCTCCAACATGAAGTGTAAAAGCACAAAGTATGGGTGTGCTATGGTGACAGTGATAAAGCTCAACTTAATGACGTCTTTTTTTCCTGCTGCACTCGTCCTCTATCACTCCCTGTCATTGCCAACCGCTATTAATAGCTGCTGTCTGCTTCTGTTACAGCTCTCACTCTTTCTCCACTCTCTGTCTGTCTTCTTTGCTTTCAGACTTACTTTTCCCTCGCTCTCTGTAATCGATAAACAGGCTTTAAACTTTTTTCAGTTTGGATTTCGTCAAACCGGCTCCCTGTCCTCCGAGAGGACGGGAGATGGAGCGCTGAACTCTGCTCTCGACTCAGAGTTGTTCTCAGAGCTGCTCTCACAACCCCCTTTCATCTTTCCCCCCCCTCATCCATTCTCTTTTAAGTTTGATTTCTGCAAAGCTTTCTCAGGATTTAGTCCGTCCTCAAAGGTGTACCAGCTCTCGTAATTTGGGTTTGCCCTTTTTTTTATTATATTTATTTGGAAAGTTGAAAGTAGTTGCCAGAGTCTACAGCTGTCTCAGCTGTCTCGCATAGAAATATTCTCTTTGAAAATGTAATAGTACACACTCTGGCATACTGCACCACCCACAACATAGCTTCACCTCTTCCTAATGATGAATGTGTAGAAATGGTCTTATCATTCTCAATGACCCCATTTATAGTTGAAATGAAGTATGATCCAGCTTGTAGAAGAATCCAATAAAAAACATTTATTTTATAAAAGGCAAGGCAAGTTTATTTATACAGCACTTTTCAACACAAGGCAATTCAAAGTGCTTTAGAAAAATGAAAGACATTAAGAGCATAAAACACATTAGAAACATTAAAAAGCAAAGATAATAACACATCAATAACAGAGGCACATGAATAAAAGTCACAGTGCAGTGTAAGAAGTGAATAGTTCAATTAAAGTGGACCTATCATGCTATATTTGAATAATATAGTGTAGGACCATACCTATATAAGGCATATTTATACTTTTTTTTTTCAAAATACCAAACAGATCATGCATTTTAGCCATGCCTCATTTCGCTCAATTTGAAAATGTTTAGCTCTGTTTTTGCAAGGGCTGATTCTGTGAGAACAGCACCATCTACAGGCCTGGCATATGTACTACAGCGTCTCCAGCTCTTTCGAACGGCAATGGCCGCGGCTGTCTCCTCCTGATTGGTGGAGTTGGCCCAATAGCCGTAGCGCCACCGTCCTGACGTCAGGACAGTGTTCAAATCTGGATCAGTTTTTATCAGATCCGTTGCAGCCCCTTTTTTTAGAGATTTGGGTATGGAGGAAAATAGAGAGGGTTGTGTTTTCTGACACTTGGTGAGTTCCCTGGAACACCGGGGACACATATTCATGTATAAAAGACGTACAAAAGTGCATGTTGCATGATAGGTCCCCTTTAAATAAAAGTCATACTATGTATATTTAATTGTAACTGCAATATGCATTTTTGGCGACCGGCAAATAAATGCAGGTAAATGATGTCTCGACATAATAACAAATTATATAATTGCCTTAGTTTAGGACGTAGATGGACAATCAGAAACTTTAATTGTCTTAAAATTGAAACAATTGAATGGAGCTATTATTGTTGACAACAACTTACTCTGCATTAGTAATTATATTATCTGTGCAGCGCTGTGAAATAGTTTTTGAATTCATTTTTTTAGAGGCTTTGACTTTGATCATTAGTAGGCGTTGCGACTCACATATATCCAAAAGGTAACAAGATTTCTCAGGGCGGTCACGGCATGATCCTCCCTTCAGGAGGCCCTCCCATTAACAATCAACCAAAGTAACAGACAAGTATGATGCAGAGATAATCATCCGAACTTCTGAGAGGATCTGTTTGTAATGAGTGTAATTAAAAGCTTCCTGATGTTTTATCTTTATGCCTGCGTTGATTTGCCTTTTCCTTTCTCCGTGTCAACGTTTCTGTTCCTGGCTCTCTTTCTATACCTCTATAGATATCTTACAGATTTCTCCCATGGCTCTCTTTTCCTTTCCGATACCTTTTAGTCTTTTTGCCCTTATTCCTCTGCTCAATCTGCTATCGCTTGTCTTTGTTCTCTCATTTGAGAGTTGCTGAAATCAATGGGACAAAGTGGAAGAGTGAACCTTTCTGTCGAGGCTGAGTGAGGGAGTTAAAGCAGGGCACTCACCCCTGAACTCACCTCCCGATGTAACTAATTGCCTATAATTACACCGACAATTGCTACAGAATGCAAATCATCTGAGATCGAAACGCCTAATCGGCACTGTAAATCAGTTTCATATGAGTGTCAGACTGAGCCGTGTAAAGCGTTCAACAATAGCTCCTTTGAAGAAGGGAAATTGCCACACAGCTTGAGCTGTTATTGACGGCATCATATCGATCATTTAGTTGAATGTCATTTGTGCTGAGGAATTTATTGTGATTTTTAAGAGAACGAATGGCAAGGTCATTTTCTGAGCTGTTTATTTTTTTCTTAACCACATTTTTCTCTATTTTTCTTTCTTAGGAGGAATATTTGAATCCACTGAGAGCGGCCCTTCCGGAGCAGAGGAATTAGCCTTTAAATTTGCCTTGAACACAATCAACAGGAACCGCACCTTGCTCCCCAACACCACGCTGACCTATGACATCCAGAGAATAAACATCTTCGACAGCTTTGAGGCCTCCAGGAAAGGTAAGTCAGACAATATGAGGACATTTAAAAAAGCCTCATTATGAGTGCTTGTTTTGTATTTTTCTATGACATGCTTTTATTTGTCTCGATCGATTGTTTCATCAATGTAGAAAAAAATGTCAGGAATTAAGAAATACAAGTCTTTTCATATGGCTCCAATGCATTTTTTAAAAATGGCCAAAACTGGGTTACAACATCTTTCTGTAAATGAATAATGAAATGTTTGCTATTGACAGTGTGCTGTAATAGCTGACAGATTATGTGGGTTGAACATTAACTACCAAAGACTGGAGACAAACACAACAATCAATTTAGACAATTATTTGCCGTGTTTGAAATCCGACTATATTTACTGTCCACAATTGTATTGAGGTCTGAAATGGATTCATTGTACTGGGATCACTGTACTCTGACACCATCTGGGCATTGCATTTCACAAACGGATTGACAATTAATTGATCAAATAGAATTTCACATTTACAAAGATCTTTGTTGTCTATTGCCTTGTTATATTAATGTTATCCGTGTCTTCTTCCATTCTGCCTTTGCTGACACAGTAGTGTTTTTGGCACATTACAAACAGTTTAAAACCACATAACTGTGTATCGCATCACCCATATGCTGTCCTTGCAAACAAAACGGCCCCGCCTCCCTTGGGTAGTGACCATTATGAAGCATCTGTTCTGATTGTTTGAGGTGACACGTGGACACAAACTGAACACCAAAAACATTTCGAAAACAGTCAAAATGAAAAGCCCAACATAAACACTAAGCTAACTTGCTGCTTTTTCTGCTTGTTATCTTTCCAGCATGTGATCAGCTTTCCCTCGGTGTGGCGGCCATTTTTGGCCCCTCACACAGCTCCTCTGCCAACGCAGTCCAATCCATCTGCAATGCTTTGGGAGTGCCCCACGTCCAGACCAAGTGGAAGCATCAAATCTCAGACAACCGGGACTCGTACTATGTCAGCCTGTACCCCGACTTCTCGTCCCTCAGCAGAGCCATCCTCGACCTGGTGCACTTCTTCAAGTGGAAAACCGTCACCGTGGTGTACGACGACAGCACAGGTACAGGTACAGTCGGTGTCTGTCTTCATCCTTCTGTAGTGTTTCTGTTTTGCATGCCAAGTGTGTCCGTTTTTTTTTTTTTAAACCTGGATCCTTTGGCCCTTAAAATGTCCAGAAAAAAATAAGAGGTACAAGGTGAGCTAAAAAAAAAGCTGCACTGCTGCTCAGAGTTCACTGAGTGCTTTGTAACCTGTCAAGTTAATTCAGAAATCAATAGCTTACTGTTCTGCCTCAGTCCGGCAGGTGCTGCCCATGTCAGTCGTCCAGGAGAGTGAGCAGCAACATTGAAAAAAAGAGACCACATTTCCCAGAATGACCAAGTGTCCCTTCAGATTAATGCAATTCAGAATTGTAGTATGGCAGCGCTGACAACAGACGTTAATAACATGCACAGACACTTGATCTCTGAGGGTGACTATTAAATGTGTCTGTGAGTCATTTCGTCTATCCTCTGACTTTGTGGAGTGGCTCATAATATGCATTTTAAAAAGACGTGTCATATTTTTGCCGGAGTGCGGTGATATTTTTATGAGGCGAAGTGTAATCGCTCCAGAGAAGATAACAATATTCTAATGCTCATTCGCAATTTAAGAGCTATTTGGCATGATGTGGTTGACGGCTTAATGTAGGTAAATTAGACAGAGTTGAAAGGGGGCTTACATTTTTAGACAGGTTGCATAATGAATTCACTTCCTACTCAGAGCAAATGGTTATTGTATAGTTGACATCTTAAATGTTGTCACTGAATAGAATCTAAATGCCCTTTTTTCTCTTCCTTTTACTAGTACTTTTTGCCTTCTCCATCATTCCTATTGCAGAGATTTTAGGAAACAACCCTTCCTTCAGCATGCTAGTGCCCGTACGCTAACCTCGGACTGTATCCCAATGAGTAGTCTCACTTGCCACATTATTCTGACTCATCCCCTTGACCTCCCTTTACCTCCTGCCTTGGAGCTCCGAATGTTAACACCCTGATTCTCCAACAAACGGCCCCAGTGAGACGTCAGGGGTGACCTCTCGCCTCTTTCTCTGTCAGAGAGGAGCGGCGTGGGCCTCCTCTGTGGAGCATTTCTGCTATAACGCACCTGACGCCCTGAAAAGTGTGACAGCTGCATAGCCGCGTAGCTTCCCCCCCCTCCGCTTCCACCTGGTCCCAGGCTGTAATCACACAGCTTCATGCTCCAGGGCCCCGCTCTGCTGATTGGAGCCTATCTGACGGCTGGCAGGGAAAACTATCGGAGGAGATAAAATATTCACACACAGCCGTTAGAAGATCCAGAGGGAAAGTCTGAAGGCATTAGCCAGAGCCCACAAACATCTACTCTGACAGTGTTTCCCAAACGTTGAGCTCCCTTGACAGATTTTTTTTTTCTTGCTTAACACCTCCCAAAGTGTCGGTACGAACAAAAACAGGGAGACGCGGACATGCCCTAGAGAAGGGATCTATTGGGATTACCTGAGAAAAGCTCTAGGTGGTTCAGTATTCCTCCCTACAATGGGACTATTCACAACAAGACCTGCATGTTCCTATTTCACACCAATCTTCCTGTATGCCTCAGGGAGACCCAGCCCCACTCACAGTAAGACCATTAAACTGCTCACACAGCACTTCATTTCAAAATAAAAAATAGGCTGAGCTATCTTTAAGTGGTTCCACGAGAAAGAGAGAAAAAAAAATCCTATCTCTCTCCCGTCCCCTCTCAAACTATCCTCTCTGCTCCATCCATTTTTATACCCATGACAAGTAATCATCTCTCCCATCAATCCAGCCTCTTTCATCCCAGCACTCTGGAGTTCTTTACTGAGGGAGAAACTCATTGTAATCTCATCGCAGTATCTCCCGGAGAGCTTTCTACCTGAATGTGTGGCCGAGAAATGAAAGGTGAAGATTGTAGCTCAATATGTGACGGAGGCGCCGGGCCTCCCTACGGGCAAGTACAAGCTGGGCAAACAGAGGCTCTCTCATCAGAGCACATCTGAAGTGTGTGTGAGAGAGAGTGGAGAGGCACGATTGACAGCAGCTTTCCATCAGGATAAAAATGAACCTATTCCATGCTGCTCTATGGTATCGTGGAGGACGAGAGCGAATCAACATTTGGGAGGCTTCTGTGGGATTGGAAGTCTCTGTAGGAGGGTGCAGATTGTGGTTCTTTGCATTTTGTGTCTTGGTATAAAAAAGAGTGCAATGTGCTGGGTTGGTGTTAAATTCTCTTGATAGGTCTGTAGCAGTCTGTTTGCCTGCCAAGCTTGAGTGGGAGGATCAATAGACTGTGGATTAGGAAGGCATGCATATGAGCCTTTTTTTTGCTGAGAAAACCTGAATCCAGTTGTTTATTGTGGCCTCCTCAGCATCGGAGATACTTCAAAATGGCAGCAGATCAAACACATTGAAGCTGCGTCTTTCAAATAATTCATTTGTTCACGCTATATGTGTCCTCTTTGTCTGCAGGTCTTATTCGACTGCAGGAGCTGATCAAGGCACCGTCACGATACAACATTCGTTTGAAGATCCGACAGCTGCCCACCGAGACCAAGGATGCCAAGCCACTTCTGAAGGAGATGAAGAAGGCAAAGGAGTTCCATGTCATCTTTGATTGTGGACATGAGATGGCTGCCTGGATCCTAAAACAGGTATGAAGCATGGGTATTGAGCCACGATATATAGGGTACAGTACATTCCTTGTAAATACTCAACCGGAGGCACTATCTATGGAGCTCCAGAGAGATAAGGGTTGGATTCATCCATTATAGTTATTTTTGATAAAGTGTGTAAAATATATAAATGGACACGAATATTTCAATATTTCAAAAAAATAAAATAAAATACCAAGTGAGTTTGAAAATTATTCAAAGTCAACTCATTATCATCAACAGCCACTTAATTGTTCTAATTTTTAATGTTTAATAAGGTTCCATTCAAAAGTCATTACCTATCAACCAATCACATGCCTCCAGCTCAAAACCCCGATTCTAGATCTAACCATTTAGCACCTCTGGAGCAACAACATTTCCAATGTGATATTGAGGAAGGTTATTCACTTAAAGGTGAGAGGGAGGCGACTATTGACAACTCCATCGGCATGAAAGATGACAGTTTGAGATAAAGGTGACATGGAGTGTAATTGGAAAAAAAAATCCAATATGAAATAAAAACACCTTTTGAAATTGTCTATAATTAAATTAAAATGATTCCCAATGTTGTTACCAAACTGAAGGAATAACATATACTATAAATATACTATTGTTTCAATATTCAAGATTAAAAGGCTTTATTTTACACATTTAATTAATATGATTGTTAACTTCACAATGTCTTTATTATGCATTTAGTATTACTCCATCCAATTGACCTTTAGGTTCAATATTTAAACCGAAATGTCAGATAAGGATACGAACCAGTCTGCTACATTTATTAATAGGGTGATTGAAATCATTTGTAAAATTCATTGAGTTATCAAATAATAATAGTTAAATGTTAGGTTTTCTCCTTGTGAAAACATAGACTCAGTACTAAATACATAGACTCATCGTTAATTCATTATGTATAAGCACTAAAATAATAAGCCAATACAGTATCTGTTCCCCTTTATTGCTCATTCTCTCTTAAAGCACTGAAGCAAATTATTCGGATACCTACTTTCTGCTCCATCTTTAATCTCTTTGTAGAATATTAGATCTCTCCAACTGTCCCTCCATAATGGAAGCTCTTCGTTGCACAATAAAGGTTTTTTAATTAGAAAATCTAACTCTGCTCACAGGCATGTTAAATTCATTTTACAGAGGCGCATTATTTCTGAGAATAGTCAGGGTTTTTTTTTTTACTGAACAGAAGTCTTCTCTGAAGCATATTGCACTGCTTGAATTCTCTATACAGCTGTGTGTCTACGCGAAGCAACAAGAATGATTATTTATTGATGGTGAATACTAGGCAGAGGAAAACATGATCTGTATGTCAGCAGCTCAACTCAGTTCCTTTTCCAACACATTTCCTACCATTGTTTAAAAGGTAGAGTCCAATTACTGCAATGTTTTATTGTATTCGTTATGGTTAGACAGTGTAATAATGATTCTACTTATTATCAATTACCAATCCCACCATTTAAGGATGTCAGACTATACAGGTTAAATAAAAGCTTAATAAAGAATTACATTTAAATGAATGAGCTCATTTGGGCATTAATCTTTACATTTGTATTGACTACCCGATGTTATTTTCTCCCTGTAGGCCCTGGCCATGGGTATGATGACAGAGTACTACCATTATATTTTTACTACCCTGGTGAGTACGCTGCCACTTCTGCTTTTATGTTGACAAATTGCTATTATATAGGATATGTTGTCATTATTTTGCACAGCATTATCTACTTAAAAATGTGTTCAACTGTGTACTTTTCCTAGGCGTCTTGCACTGCTTGAGCGAAATTACATCCAGGTGTCTCAAAGCAGTTTATTCTTCTTCTCTGAGAATCAAATTAAATATGACTCACCCAGGAGCGCGTCAAATAAAAAAAACACTTTAATTTGTTCTTGTGTGTGAAGCCTTGTGGACCTGAACTACAACCTGCATTTGTGATAATAGACGGCCTTGAGCTCACTCATTGTAGTTGATTACAAACATACTTCTCGCATATTGAAGTTGTGAAAGTTTACCTCAAGTTTATTTCCTGAATACAGCACATAACTTTTCACCCCATGCGGCTGTCCACAAACCTGAAAGTAGGAAACACAAGCAGTTGGATATATTTTATTCTGACTCTGGCAGCGCTATTGAAGTTCTCCCAAGTTCTTTGATCTAGCCACTACAAAGAATGCTTGCTACACTGCAGATGAACAGCAGCAAATCTTCGCAGAGCCCAGAGAACAGAAGACTGAGAGCTAGGATAATAGCCCTGAGCAGATGACTGGCACCCATTTGGTCCATTATAGCTAACAAACAGACTTCACGCTGTGTTGTTTGGCGCACAATTGGAAAGTCTGAAGGAAAGGTTGGAGAAAGCTGACCTGAAAAAGACATTTGACAGTGCATAGGGCATGTAACTATCCCTTGTGCAGCCACGGACGAACCTGGCTCGATGAAAGGGGAGTGAGTGAAAGCAGGTATGTCATTGGGAAAGAAAAGAGGATCGTGATTATAGGCTTCTGTCAGTGGCATGCTGCTGCTTGTCGGGTGGAAACATGCCTACTTTAACATCAGCCAGTGTTTGGCCGGTTAGAGGCCACTATGCCGGCCAAAGCTGCTGTATACTGGGGCCGAGCCATCCATGCTGGTTTCGGAAAAGGACAGCAAACATTGACCGTGGCACGGCCATTGTGCGTTCATCACCTGCTGTTGCTCTGTCAACTGTGCTGTCGCATCCCAAAGACATCTGCCTTGGTGAGGTGCCAGACATGCTGTATGCAGGACGATTGGGTTGTCCTTTCCCTTCCACATGATAGATGGCAGTCCACCAAAAGCCGGCCTGTAACCTTGAAAGCCTTTCCTTCATCAAGGCTGCTGCCTCAGCATGAGATAATAAAGCTCTTGAAATACCTTCAACTGCACTCTTCTGCTCCCACTTTCTAAAGCTGCAACTCAAATGGCTGCTCTTAATTATTGAGGACAGACAAGATTAGTATTCAGTGCAGGAAAAGTTGAGGAATTAATTATTGTTGGCAGCTTGAACACATCTAGATTTTCATCTTTATGTATCCAGGACCTTTTTGCCCTCGACATGGAGCCGTATCGTTTTAGTGGAGTCAACATGACCGGGTTCCGCATCCTCAACACAGAAAACTCTCAGGTGTCGTCCATCATCGAGAAGTGGTCAATGGAGCGGCTACAAGCCCCCCCCAAACCCGACTCAGGCCTGCTGGATGGATTCATGACGGTAGGCTCAAACCTTTTTATGCTGCTTACGTAATGCAAATGTTATGCTGTGTTTGCAGAAAACATGCTCATAGCTGCACTCCATTCCTTCATGTCCAAATGACCAAATCAATCTGAAGCCATATGTAACGTAATGGCACCTTCGGGGGTTGGGGGGGGGGGTTATGCTACAACCACTTCAGTGAATATAAAAAATGATCTTCACAATGCAAGGTGACTGTTCATTAAAAAAAAAAAAAGGTTTTGAATTATGCTGTTTTTGAAGAGAATAAATTAGCGCCTACTGTCAATCACAGGTTCCATGGCGCAGAGCTCCTGGGGGGTGGCATTCGGGGGGGGCATGGGGGCAGCATCAACGCCCTCTGCTTGGTGCTTTGGGGCTGATGCCCCTAGGTCTAAATGCTCAGTAATGAGGCAGTGTGAATGGTAATAGCCGTTTATCTGCCCTCCTGCCTCTCCTCTGGGAGCGTGGCCAGAATATGACAATCTGTCAGTGTTCATGCAGAGAGAGGGAACAAATTGGATGGAAATTATGGCCTTGGTTTTTTAGGATGGCATCCAAAAAATCCTAGGATAAGGTGATTTGAAAGTGAAAAAGGGAATGGAGTTCTTCATGGACATTCAAGGTCCCTGTCTGGGTGTGGGTGTTGTTGTAAACAGTGGATTTACTGCATCTCCCTCACAAAGCCTTCCTTGCCGGAAAACATATTTTTTTCACCCGCTTTCAGTCGGCCTTTCTTTCTTCTTGCCAGCTGTAGGATCTGGTATCAGAAATCTGTGTAATGAAAGACATGTTCTTTCATCAAAGACTTAAGCACAGTGGTGCCTCTTCAAATATCAGTCACAGCAGTAATTCACACTTACATGTGATGAGATGAAAACACACAATAGGAATCAATGTGTTTTTTCTTTTAGTTTCCAATTAAGGCCCTGCAAATATACAGCAGTTTGATATGCATTGCAGGAACAATAGGGTACAAGCAGCCGTATGTATTGATAAATAATAGTACGTGTATCCTTTTTCCCGAATGTGCAAAAACAAGCGGTGCAGTTACTGTATGTATGCAGAAAGATTAATGCAGTGCACAGAGACGTTAAAACCCCTTAATTTTTTTTTTCCTCCGCCGGAAATTAATGGATATTAGTAGAGAACGTTGAATTGATTAATTAGCATTGCATGAATCATTTTTGTCAGATCCTATGCTACATATTGACATATCGCACTGGACTAGAACCACCGTTAAATAATGAAAAATGCTTCCGAAGGCTCATGCAGGCTTGATAAAGTACTTCATTAGAGTGCTCTTTTTATAAATCCCGGCTCTGATGTACTTTATTCTTTAGAGTGTTTCGCCCTAAGAGGATTCCTAATAAAGCGTCATTGGAGAAACGGAAGCATGAATATAAAAACACGTAATTTTAATGGTATAATAAAGGCAAAATGGAGTTCTGCTGGTGATTGTGAAGAGCCGTACCTGCATTATAAACGTATGAGTCTGAATAATATTTGGGTTATCTGCAACTTGAATGTGTTTAATTCCTTTTTCAGATCTGCCTGGCATTTATTTATTGGTGCTCTGGGCTGAGAAGCCACCTTGAAAGGTATCATTAAATGAAAGTGGGCTGCAGAAGCCAGAGTGTGACCTCCCACCCCCCGACCCTCCCTCCAGCCTTATATTTCTCCCCTCTCTCCTACCTTATTCTCATTCTCTGCAACACTGAAGCCTTGCTGTGCGCCGGGCTTGTTTGTGCACGGTGACCAGGCAACAGTTGTGTAGCAATGGTTACTAGGACAACGCCGTCCAGGTCACCTTGTGATTTCACGAAGGATTGATTGACTGAGATGGGAGGTGGACGTAGAGGAGTGGGGATGTGGGGAGGTGAGATTGTGGCAAAGGAAAAATGGCGGTTAGGGTGCGGGTGTGGAGAGGTGCATGCAATGTTTTTTTCACGCCACTAGGCTCAGGTTGTGTATAATCACAGTGACACTCACAGCCCTGGGTGAGGCCGAGTGTTATCTCAGGGAAGGATGCATAATGAGAAGACCCTCCTCGACCCCGGCTAGCTCGCAGCCACAAACACACCCGGCCCCTTCCTCCTAACGGGGGTTTGTCCGAGGTGTCTCTGACGTCGAGGGATGCATACTGAGAGAGGGAATGCTAATTAGTGGAGGCTCATTTGTGTTCGGGCGTGAAGTGTGTGTGATATTGTGTGTTTGCGTCGCCGCTTTATCCCTGAAGTAATTTGGAGCTTAAATTGTTGTTAGCCTCAATCTACATTTGGATTAACAGCAGTAAGAGACACACTGTGCTTAATGATAGATGGATAGATGGCTAGATAGATTGATAGGCAGATTTCTCTTATTTTGTCCCATCTGTGTATAATTATAGCCCCAAGCTAATGGGATATTTGGTTTTAATGCTCCATCGTAATTTGCATTCTTTCAAATCCCCATTCACTGAGCTAAGTATATACTTGGATTTAATTGAGGGAAATAAGAAAAATAAAACAGTTTCCCAGTTGAGGCTTTAGGGCCAGTTATTTTCTACATCTGCATCATTTCATTTATGTCTACATTTCAGTGAGCTATAATTACCACAACAGAGGGTGGGATGTTCTCCAGTGTCACCAATGCAATTCTGGTGTAATAGCTCATAATAGTGACTCTTATTAATAGAGAGCGGTTGTTTGGGTAATATGTATAACATGATGATGGGGCTGCAGCTCAAGTTTGCATGGGACACTGTAAAAAGCCTGTTAGCGTTACACTAGATTAATTGGAAAGAAAACAGACGTGCAAAGACACTGACAAACCAGTGAGGAAAATCCGCAAATGCAACATTTTTCTTTCCTTTCCTTTCCTTTCCATCAGCAGCTATTGCTCAAATATCCTAGAGCAAAACACTTCACTTAAATCAGCACAAGAACATGCATGCTCAGCAGATTTTCCCAGGATACTGTATGGTAAATAATTGCTAATGACAATGATTTAAAGAAGAAAATCTACAACGCAGCATTTGTCCCCAACACAGAAAGTAAACGGTCTTTTTTTCCATTAAAGCTGTCCAGTCATAGCAACTCTCTTTGACAGCACATAGCACTCAAGTACAGCTACTTTTGGTGACAAACACATCATGACAGACACACAGAGACATATGTATTTGGGCAATCAGGATGCAGGATGTTGTATACTTTTCATACCTATTTCTTTTTAAAGATTGCCATGCTATAAATCTGTTTATCTCCAGTGTTTCTTCAGCTTTGTGTTATAACTGCCTCCCTATTTACTCATTAATGGCTGTCTGTCTTTTCCCCAAGGGATACAAAATGCATACCCTTGCACAAGGAAATGACAGGAAATGATGCATGCATGTGACTAGTCCCATCTCACCAAATGTGCAACTTAAGATCATATGCTCTCCTGTTCATTCTGACACATTTCACTAATCAAAGCAAAGTCCATACCTGCAATGCGTGCCTGAGCATCTGAGTTCCCTCGCAGGTTTGTATCTACATTTGTGGAAGGGGACCGTTTGCAAAATGCACGTGAGCAGAGCTAGCAAATAGCTTTTGTGAAACGGACCCCTGCATGTTATTCTTGAGACAATATCAGATGCGTGTATGCATTTCACATATAGGCATCATGAGATCATAGGTTCAGTGCACGTAAGCATTATAATTAATTACAGAAATGTCACAATGAATCTTATCAGCCACACACAGAGCTGCACTGTAAACACACACACACACGCTGCACTGTAAACACGCTCACGGGCTGCTCTTCTTTCACTCGAGGGGTGTTTGTTGTCCTCGCTGGTCGATACATGTAATTATGAACTGAACTCGTGCACCTGTATTATTAAATCACACCATCCTTTACAGGCAGTAACACCAGATCAATACAGACCGAAATTATATCTTTTTATCCTGTAGATGTATTGATACAAGGGTAAAAGAGTGTCTTTAAAGAGGATGTTTATAGAAAATGTCAGAATTGTATCATTTTTCCACAAATTAGGGATACTACAAAGGAAGGGAAGAGGGAGGTTTCAGAGAGTGTGACGGACTGACAGGCAGAGACAAAGAGAGAGAGAGGGGGGAGAGAAAAGATACCTTGCTGCATTAACACACACACACACACACACACACGCACACACACACACACACAGAGCTCTGAGCCACCCACACACTGAAATCGTGATACAGGAACATGCTTGAGTCAAGCTATACGGTATGGTTAGAAGATGCTTTTTCCAGGTCTGTTTACACATAAGTGTGTGCTGTAGGATGTCTGATGCAGTTCACATTTGGTCGGGACATGGCTCAGGTTTGCATGCCTGCAATCTGACAATGGGAAGAGAATACGGACACATGATCCCCTCTCCCATGTGAGCATCATTCATGCAACATGCAACCAAATGAAGGGGGTGTATGTTGAGCCAAATTTAAAATGATATTAAATAGAGGATACATTGTGTCATTATGCCTGATACAAATCCCTGCACAAATAAGGTGTACTGGAAATTTGATCAAGCATTTTGTGATACATTTTTATTCTAAAGTGAGTTTTCTCTCTGCGTCTTAAAACATGTTTTTCAGGGCATCAGCAGTGCTCACAGTAAATATCCACATAGTATAGTTCAGCTAATTCTATTTGATTAACCCAACGCATGCATCACATGACTGATATTATCCACTATAATTCTAGGTTATCACAGATTGGTATCATTATATGTGACAGTGTATTAAGAAGCTTAAGAGAAGATGTGGAAATTGAATCTATTTAAATGAATGTTCCATGTGATTTTAAAAACTACCATTTTATCAGATCTTAAATAAAAAGTGTAAAATAGTGAAGCTCACATTCTTATTTCTTGTTATTGCAACATGCTTCCCAGCGCTTCGATAGCACACACATCATTTGCAGCCTAATGAAAAGCATGAGGCTTTGATGTTGCATCTGATATACAGAACTAACAGACTGCACTCCACACAGGTTTA